ATCATAAACTTTTTATGTTGGAAACAAACAAGCAATTTCTATTTTTATTTGCTCATTCAGATTAATAGTTTCTTTGATGAATGTGAATATGAAAAAAATATTTTCGGTTATAATACTGGCCGTTTTCGACCTCGCTTTACTGTCACTGAGTAGGATATGTTACCGTGGGAACTTCCCTGGTAATACGTATACGGTAATAGTTTTGTTAAAAAACCAATCTACATACGTGTTTTCTTGTTTTTCGGTAATAAATAATTTGAATTTTTTCCTTGGAGTCTATGTAACAAGGCATTGAGGTAAAAAAAAACCGAATTTACATAGCGAATGTAGTTGCATGAAACTAAAAACAAGTTTCACGAAATTAATTTTGGTTCATGTGAAACTACTACCGTAATTACGTGCAATCGGCAGTCTCTGAAACACTGGCTGTCTCAACTCAAAGATCTTCTATACGCAAATAATGTCGCAAAGAGTTACAACATGTAAAGCGAGGTGGAATTAGTTGCGTGAAAGTAGTTTAGAAAATATGCGTATTGCACAAAACTACTTAACTGTCGTTAAACAAATGCGGACAATGTGAAAGTGCATTTACTAGCGAAATCGATGCAATGAAACAAGTTTCATTAAACTATTTTCGTAATGTAAATTCGGTTATTGATTCCGGAGCTAGATGATGCAGTGGTTAGCGCGCTCGGTCTGCAATACGATTGTTAAGCAACTTTCACAATGGCCGGTTATAGGATGGGTGGTGAAAAATCTCGAGCTCCTCCATACTTCGGAAGGCACGTTTAGCCTTTGGTCCCGGCTGCATCTATTGTCGTTAATACCCACCAATCCATAATGGGCCCGCGTGGTAATTCCATTCTCCCTATTTGATTCCCCATCCCTATGAATGCATAAGAAAGGCCTGAGCTCCAACAATGGAGATATTAATAGGCTGGTGATGTGAAATCCAGATATTTAGGCAGGTATTTTCACGATTTGATTATATAGAACAGAATACACAACTTTTAGTTAGGTTAGAACTATGATCAAAAATTATCTGTTTTCCTAGGTGACTCGTTACGTACACTCTACCAATTATTTTATGCAAATATGTAAACAGTGTAAAATTACCATTTTCTTTGCTCAGTAAATAAAATTCCGAAGAGAAAACGTTAGCACTACATAGTTGTACCGTTACTATAAGTTATAAAAAATATAAAAGTAAACTCCTTTCCTTATTAAACCCGTGTTTAACGACGCGGTTTTACCGTCACTATTCTCTTTACTTTCTCCATATTCAACCTTTTTTTATCATATTCTAAGCCGAACCTTTATTTTTATCGTCGATTCGTCGTGTGCAGTTTCTTCAAATATTAGTTATGTAAATGCGTATTATTACTAAAATCTATATTTTTTTATAAAATATATGAATGTAAATTATATGTAACATTAAAAAGATCACAGCTTCATTTAAATAAGCAATTCAAACTGTATTTTTTATTTAACACGTAATAGTTTCATATTTATCATCTTACAATATTACCAGGTAAAAATATACATTCATGTTTTATTTCAAACGTTCTAATAAGTTATAAATAGACAATATACCTAATACCAAAATGTCTTGTGAACGAATCAGTTTAGGACCCTACTTCTTATTTCATCACCATACTTCTTATTTCTAAGACACTAACTAATACAAAACTCTAAGAGTTATTAAATTTAAAACTTTGTATATTACACTGAAAGTTGAAATTTAAAATCTAATTTCGCACAACCTTAGATTTCATTTTGTGGTATTATTTGCTCCAAACTAAGTTATTAATCGACAGCGAATAGCGTGTTTATGTTTTCGTCATAACCTCATTCAGTTTGCCAAACCTATGTCAGGTTTGAATTCTATTCGAAGTGAATCCCTATAGCACTGTGTATATTGTAGCTAGCTGTTTTCCCGTAACTAATGCATAAATTACAGGCTATTTTAAACCTCTATAATGTAGTACCCATAGATGAGAGAATTTTCAAAATCGGTCCAGCAGTCTCGGCGATTAATCGATACAAACAAAAAATAAAATCTTTCTTCGCTATAATATTAATATACACAGATATTGTATTTTATTATAATTGTGTAATGTTTGAGTAAATTGTAACGAAGATAAGGTAACTACTTTTTACAAGTAAAGGAAAAACATTTATAGTACTAATCATGTTTTCAAAGGCAGCTAAGAGTTTTAATAGCCCAGCTCTCGAAGTTTCGTTTTTTTTGTTTGTTTTCCTTTGGAAGGCAGTTTTTTTTTTATAAAAAAGGGTTTTTATTAGATTTCTGCACGCTGTTAAATGAAAGACGCTTAAATGCCAGACAACTACTTCAAATAACTATTTCATCTTTGTGCAGCAAATATTCGTTTCTTTGTTTTTATGTGATACTAGCTGTTTTCCCGCGACTTTGCACGCGGTAATTATAGAATATGTCAACTCCGTATGATGTAGCTACTCGTGGGTGAAAGTATTTTTAAAATTGGTACAGTAGCTTCGGAGCCTTTCCGATGTAAACATACAAACAAATCTTTCCTTTTTATAATATCGACACCTGCAAGGAAAAACGTCGAAACACAGTTTTAGACGCTTTACAGGAAAACATGTTAAAGATTTAAAAAATCTTACCCATGTCGGATTTATGTATATATTGATTTATTTTGTTTTTTCCTGGGTTACAATCATAATCTTTTACAGATACGTTACTATAATATTGTACCAAATTATTGCATTTGTGGAACAAAATTTTATGTCTGAGATACAATTTGTAAATTGCTTAAATATGCCTTTTTAACATTATAATGCGGAACAAAATTTAATTTTACAAAAGCCTTTATTAAGTTTCTGAAAATCATAAGAATTTTACATTAACCTCGTGTGTTCATAAGTTTTGAGACGAAATAAAAGATGCGAACTTTTTTAAGAATAAAATTTTCAGTAAATAGATAATAATCAACAATAAAAAATATATATTTTATTCAAAATGACCGCCCTTTTTTATGCCCTTAGACGATTTGGCCAGTCATCAATGACGGCACGAATTTTTTTATAGCGGAATTCGCCTTGCTTCTCGAATAAGGATTCGCTTCAGTGACTCCAAGTTTGGGTGGGACTTTCGACAAGCCTTGAGCTCTAATTCAGTCCATATAGAATAATCCAGCGAGTTGAGGTCAAAGCTGGAGGAGGGCCACTCGTTTGCCGCGATGTAGGCCGGCACATTCTGCCTCAACCAAGCTTGGGTGATTTTTGCCTTATGGGATGGCGCCGAGTCTTGCTGAAAAACCCAACCCTCATTGTAAAATAACGTATCAGACAAGGGTTTTACCACGGGCTCTAAAATATCACTCTGGTAATTCTTAGCATTTTACCTTGACACCGTGTTGGCAGAAATGGAGCGGAATGGCACCTTCAAACGAAACTCCCCATCATACCATCGCACTAGCCGGATGATGAGCGCGCGAGATATTCCGCGCAGAAGCTGGGACATCCTTGCTACTTTTAGCGTAAACCTTATTTTTTTGTCGATAGAACTTTTCTTAGACAGTAAAAATTTTCTCGTCGATGAAGAGTATTTTCCTGGCATCATGTCTTCTCAGCAGTAATAAACAACGTTCGCGAGTTTCTTCTGAGTGCGTCATGAATTTCGGCAAAGTCGCTCTCGGATGATTTTGATGTTCGCAGGCGTCCTGACAGAGCAAGGCCGACCACTCGTGTGGCAATTTTGCAGAGAACTTGTCTCTTTGTACCGCTGAATTGTGTAATAGACGAAGTTACAGTTTACAAGAAAACTTTTCAACTCGCGGAAAATGTGCATCGATTTTTTCCCCGCCTTAAATAGCAAAATGATAGTTACATGTAATTGTTTCGTTCCCTCCATCACGAGAAAATATAAACAAATTAATTTTCTATACAAATAAACTTAGTTAACATTCCAAATTCAAAATCGGTAAAAAAAAATCCAGTAACATTTTATTTTACTTTTTCAGTAAAAAGTATGTCTCTTTGTCAAAACTTATGAACACACGAGGTACGTTACAAAATTTCCGAATCCTTTGATTTACCATAAAATTGAATGTAAGTACCATCAAGTATATCGAATTCAAATTAATATATATCATGATTAAGTCGTCTAAATAAATATGAAAGCCGGCAATTTTTACCAAAAAAAAAATTGCTGCAATAAACGTTCTGAAACAAAGTTCGGACATGGACCTCCTTTTTATTCTTCGACTTGTGTCCTCGGATACGTTCGTTAGGAATTTCATCAAACAATGTTATTCCTAATTGAAATCTTTCCATAGCCCTCTATTCCACTCGTAAATTACCAACACAATTCTTTGTCAGGGTAGCAGTTTTCATAGCATATGAAAGAATCAAGGTTTCGCGACGAACCGAGATTTCGCCATCTTTCATTCTTTTCATTTAACATGTACTTTATTTATTCACTTGACATTAGCAGATTTGTGCAAAACGTGCAGATAAGCCATGAATAAAATAAGAAGATAGCAAATAAAAACCGGAAGGATACACAGATTAACAATATTATTTTTAATGTCCGCGAAATGTTTGAGTAAAGTACTAATGATAGATAGGCCCGACGAAGTAGTGAACAATGTCGGCAATCATTTAATGTTATTCTGCCTTTGAAATATTCGTCATTGTTTTGTACGTTAAGATTTTTTTAAAGATTATTTTTCAAGAATAGTCCATCTTCTTAAAATGAACTCATTTTTGGGGTTACACACCTCAAAGGGAAAAAAAAGAACGAATATAGAATTACTCGGTTGTGTCTGTCCGTCTTTCACAGCCGTTGTCTTCAAATGTTACTGGTCATATTGATTTCAAATTCGGTACACTTAATATAAGATACGACAGTCAATCGATCACTTTTTCTTATATATCTATAGAGAAGCTGCATCTTCGGCGTCAATCTTTCAAAAATATTTTAGGATATAAAATCACGTAGTAATTAATACTATTCAGAAATCAAAACATACTTTTCTTTTTGATCGTTGCATCCTGTTGTCTCTTGCCGACTGTGCTTCACCTGGCGGTCTACCACCCCACACGACGTGAGCTATCCTAACATAGGTACAAACTAGCGCGCTGAGCGGCAACAAGAACTGAAATGCCAACAGCGCGCACGTGTAACGCTCGCTTTGCTCCGGCCTCTCCCACTCTTCGAGGCAAATGTCCCTGCGAACATTTTTATGTAAATTAGATATATTTCACGTGGTAGGGAAATGTAATTCTATTATGTGCTCCTTTGTAAGATAATAATAAAATACTTAATAGTACAAATTATAATAGTATTAAGTACTCAGTATTACAAATCCTCAACGAATTTAAATAATGAAAGAAGTTGCCTTTTGTTAGAGCCTTTTAATTTTAATATGGAGCTCGATCGCGCAATGGTTAGCGCTTTTGATTTGCAACATGGAAATTAAGCAAGGGCCGGTCATAGAATATCGAGTTCTTCCGTGCTTCGAACAGCAAAATAAAATCGTTGGTCCCTGCTGCTTCTACAGTAATTAACACCACACACAGAATGGGCTTTGTTTAGTACGCAGGGCCACTGCGTGCTAAACAAAGCCCATTCTTATCGATTCGATTGTATTCCATCTATAGGAAAGGTCTGTGCCCCAATAGTGGGAACAATAATAGGCTGTTATGATGATATTTTAATAATGATAAAAACATAAGAATTGAAATTTATAAATTAATTTGATTATAAAGAAAGTGTATTATTATATATTGTAAAGAAAGTGAGAAGCTTGAATTTTATAAATTAATTTATTGTACTAGGTAAGCTTTGTACTGAGTAGATTGCCTTATTATTTTAAGCGATAAAAAATAATTCATACGTTCCGCAGTATCGATGCCATTCAGTTGGTCTTTGCACTTGTGATACTATCGGTATCGGAGCAGCAGTAGCTAACGCACCTCCCCACACACCAGCTACCACTAGTTTAGCTGCTGTTTTCCCCAGTCGTGGTCTCAATGGGTGCATTATCACCATGTATCGATCAATAGATATTGCTAACAACGTATACGCACTCACTAACACTGAAACAGCTTGTGAATAATTCACTACCTTACACATAATTGCACCAAATGGCCAATATCTCAACACTAACATTGACATGAAAGAAAACGGCACACAAAATAGTGTCATGAGTATATCACCGACTGCTAGATTCACTATGAAATAATTTGTCACTGTTTTCATACGAGGTGATGATTGCACAACGAAACATACTAATCCGTTACCTATAAGTGCCACTATGAAAACTATACTGTACATGATGAACACACACGTGTGGAACAGCGTAGTGGAAAGAAAGTTATCCGATCCTGATGTGCAAACGGCATCGTAATCCAGCCACGACGAGTTTGTAGGCGTCGTAATATTTGTTGAATTTTCAATTGCACCATATTCAAACGTAATGAGTCCAGGGAGAGTTGTACTCGGCACATAATTGGACTCGGTTTCAACGACCTCCAACATTCTGCGTCATTGTGCATTCACATGTTGCCGTGTTGAACGACGAACTACCTGTAACAAAACAGACATTCAGATTATCACATATCAGACTTCAGACATCGTTATTGAATAACGATAAACATTTTATGTCCTAACAGTCATCCATTACACAAATTGATGATTTCGACTCTAATATCTTTGTTTATAAAAATAGAGTGCCTAATTCTATATAAGAGAATATATATCAATCATTAAATGTAGATGCATTTCAAGCTTTTACATAGACTTTGATTACTTTTTTTTACAAATAAAAGTTACGGCCTTCGTTGATAAAGGTATAATAAAACCTCAATAAGATCGTCTTTCCAATTATTGTGTCGTCTCACGTATGGGTTGCAAATAAAGTCCGTAATGTCTCTTGTTATCGAGAACAGCTGAAAATGTTTCCATTTCGTTAACATAGGAAGGCGAGCAGGTACGTTCATATTCAAATATCTTTTGAACTGAGTTCTAAAGGACTTTAACCGTTTTAGCTACCTGCCATTTTTTATTTACTCTCATTTAAAAAACCTATACGAATCAATAACAGAGACTACATTCTGTAAAATTAGTATCTTTTTTAATTTTTTATTAAGTCATTAATATCTAATCTGCGCATTTTGCACAACTCTACCAATGTCAAGTTAATAAATTAATTTCTACGTGTAAAATAAAATGAATGAAAGATAGCGTTAAAACAACCTACATTCTGTAAACAGATTGCTATAATAAATCAGACAATATTTGTTCCGTTTTGAATAATTATAATGTTACAAATAACGTCTAAACGTTAAGTAAGAACATGGACCAATTATCGTGATTCAACTTCTAGTATACTCACTGACATTAATAAAAGCATTAATTTTTAAAGGTGCAGATGTCATCTAATAAACTGGACCGGTGTCGCTAATTATAACTTTGGTACTAACAATTAAAACCAATAATAACAATTGTGTTTGGTACTAGGTATTATATAAAATTCATAAGGGTTACACAATAATTCAGGTCGCCATTGATGTTAGCTCTTAAACAGATAGGTGGTCCGTAACCTGTGCAGACCTCTCTGATTTGGTACGATTCTTCTCAGTTTCATATATTATGGAGTTTAGAATAAATAAATGCTACCATCAGTCTCGTCTTCCCTACACTTACGTAGCTTAAAAGCAACACATATAATTTCATTAGCTTTTTTCTTGATTTGCTATAAAAATTGCTTATTTTGCACTAAATTTTCTTGTATATGAAACAGTTCTTAATTTTATACGAGTCCGTGAATTGAACAGGGTTCTGACAAGTTATTATTATTATTTTTTATTTTATTTTAACTACATACAGTTGGTTCATTACAAAAAGCAATTGGAGAATTGATGGTACAGACAGAGATACATATATAAAAACTCGTTATAGTTTTTATTTGCCATTTTTTTATCTATTTGGATGAGCATCCCACTTTGATGTTTAATAGTTAGTTTAATATTTCCATAGATACACATATAGTTTTACAATCTTGCTTACCTATTAGAGTCTTACTAATCGTTTTTATTATACTTTTCTTTTACATTTTTAATTGTGTACAACATATCAATACCTATAATTTCTTAGATTCATTCTCATTGTAAGACGGTTATATTAAAGATTTTTTTAAATTGATTAACTTGAGACAACAATAGCCATTCCAAAATATAAAAAAAATACATAAAAAGCAGGCGAAAATTGATATCTATATTGTGGTAGCATAACGCGCAGCCATTTTAGAGCTAGTACATGATAATAATTATTGAAGATGAAGGAAAAACAATCTTATTATAAATAAATTGCTTAGGCGCAAAATCAGGGCGAGCTGCTAGTTGTAATATTGCGGTAAAGATTAATTAAGTTACTTTGATTAGTGGCATAATAAAAAGGTAATAATTATTTCATGAATTATACTGCACTTCTAGAACAATATTAGTAATGTTCCAAACCCAAATGTATTAATTGGAATATTGATAAATCCCTTGATTGGAATTTTAGTAACGAGGTTCCTGGAGCCAAATTAATTAACGTCATGTAGTTATTTGGCGTAATACTGGTAATGATTTGATCAAAGCTCCCGTGTTCAATTTTGGATTATGAAATCCGTATCCGTATCCGTATTTACCGGGTTCATGTAAGTATACGTACTTTTTTGCAAATATAACAAAATAATATGATTATTTACATAATAAAAACTTGCTTCAACGTCATTAATCATAGTTTCCACAGTAATGAACAACATGACCAAAATTTTCTTAACTACGTTTAATAGTTAAGAAACTTATTTCATTATTTTATATAACCTAAAAAGAATAAGATAAATTCCATAAAAGCGTTGGAGAAGTTCAGTTTTAATTATATAGCACTATGTACTAAAATATGTTATTAGATAATTACATAAATATTCCTGTAAAAGAACATCGTAATAAACGTAACCAAAATACAAATAAACATATTGATTTGTGTGTTAAATGTTCCTTTGTTCCACTTTATAGATGTAAAAAACGAAATCTTTAGAGAAGTTGGCACGCAACCGCAATCAGCTGATTGATATACGAAACTATTTAATTGCATTCGTCCTTGGTTCTTATCATAAGCTCTTTTTGACACGATCCAAATACAGGGATCGAAGTGGTACGGTGTTATGTACGCATTAGCAATGTCTTACTTTAATAAAGGCATTTGCATAGTATTTCACAGTACATGGTGGGAACCGAGTAAGGCTTATTTATTTTTTTATAATATTCCATTTTATAACATGTATTAACACTCATATACCCAAAACAAAATTTAGTTTATACAAATAAATAAAAAATTGAAACTTAAAATATGCAATAAATAAAAAAAATATAAACAAAATCATAGCTAAAACATTAAAAAAAACATAAATTCATTACAATTATCTAAAATATATTAAATTATCGTTATATCTAATTAATGATGAATGAGTTACGAAATCAATGTGGACATGAGCTTTGAATATATACGGCCGGTTTCTACTAAACTTGGGCACTGTAGCTCTTTTTAATCACATTACTGTTTGTGAAATTATTGTTATTTTACATGACTGTTTGATGAAATGAATGAAAAATAAAAAAGTTTCTGAAATGAGAAAGGTAGAAAATTTCAACTGATTATTCAAACATTTTTGCTTTTTACATGGTATAAAGTCTTTATTTTATAAAACTGCTATCAATTGATCATTTAAATCAAAAATGAAAACCTGTTTAAGTGACGTTTGTAATATCTTGAGTGGGATTTGAGACGTATTTAATTTAGAAACCGGGTTTAGTTTTTTTTTTATATAACAAGTACTGTATAAAGACGGTCACCATAAAAATTAATAAAAAAAATACTTTTGCTAATAAATCGTTTACTTAGCACGAAATAAACACATCATATTTGACCAGTTTGCATTTTGGGTCTCGGGCTAGACAGTCGTCCGGATTGCAAAAGGTAATTCTTCTTGAATGTTTATTACTATCCGCTTTATGTATTTTATTACCGCTTTATGTAAGTAGACACTGTACACTCGCTTTACTAAATACTTTTTGATTATTTTTAACGTATTAATTATGTTTTTGAACACAGACGTTATTTCCTATAATAATATTTTATTTTCATTTTGTGTACGTCACTTCCGCTGTCGCCTTCGTTGAACCACCAAGAATAACTCATTGAAGCGTATTTGACACATTTTAGGTTAGTAAATTAGTAAACAACGTAATATGGAAATTTATGAATTATTAATATACATGAAATGTAAATAGTGTCAAGATCAGAATAAAATATCATTTATGAGTTTTCATTATTCATGATCATGTGTATCTGTGGCAATAGTGACATAAGATTGGAATAAATTGACAATATATCAACAAATTGGTCTACTCCAAATAAGCATTGAAATAAAATTGGTACCACAATTATGATATGCATTATTTAAATACTGCACATTAAGCTAATATTACAAAATAAAAGATTTGATTGTATGTATGTTTAAATTAAAAGGAATTCGAAACTACTGGACTGATCATAAATATTCCTTCACCTACGCGGAACTACATCATACGCTATCACTACATAGTGTAAAACAAAGTTTCTCTGTCCCTATACCCATATATGTATGCTTAAATCTTTAAAACTATGCAGCGGATTTTGATGCGGTTTTTTTTTCATAGATAAGGTGATTCAAAAGGAAGGTTTTTATGTATAATACAACACCACGCGAGCGAAGCTATTACATTTATGAATTTTTGTTTGTTGAACTTTAAATTAAGGCAATATATTGTGTTACATGACGTCACACGTTTGTATGTAAATTTCCTACAAAACTGTGACGTAGCGACCTCATTCTTCAACTCGATTGCCTGTTATCTAAGTTATTTCTTTTAATATTAAAGTAAAAACAATACGCATCTAATATTTTTATATTATCTGATTGGCGGCCTAAATAGATTTTGATTTTTTTTTTTACTCAGTGTTCATCCCTATTTGGGCGAAGTTACAAATTATATAAACGTACGGATGAAAATTAATAATAAACTTCATATATGTCTTACTTAACAAAACTTTAATATTCCCATTCGTCTAAATTTTCTCACTCCCACATACTCTTTATAATGAGGGTTACAAAACTTTACGTGATTTAATATATTCAAATTTAATTTAATTTATTCGATATAAGTTGTTAACAGTTATTTCTAAAAGGTGAAAGGTTACGTCAATGGTTCGTATGAGAAAATTTAATTAAATATATTTTTCAAATATTAATATAAACGTAAATCCAGATAAAAAATCAAACTATGTACTATGCTATGCCAAATAAATTATATAAGCAAAGCGAATTCCTTACGGTCAAACTTCAGAAAATAAATACTAGTGGCGTCTTTGACATTTCCTATTACATTTATGATATAATTTTATATTTAAATGTATTTTAATTTATATTTATTTTATACGTTTTTCTTCAT